TTTAATTTATTTTAATTATTAATTTAATTTATTTTAATTATTAATTTAATTTATTTTAATTATTAATTTAATTTATTTTAATTATTAATTTAATTTATTAAAATTATTTATAGTTTGTATACTGTATTTTATATATATATATATATATATTAATATATTACAGTATTATTCGAAGTAATAATTTTTAGTTATAATCAAACCTTTATAATTATTCATTATAAGAATATTTATTATTAATATAATTAGAGAAATACGGACTTAGATTTTAGCCAATCAGAATAGCTTTATAAAAAAGATTTGTCGGTTTTTTTTTTAAATGGTTTCACGATTTATTTTTTAGTTTATAGATCACAAAGGGAGACGCATGATAGCAGTCATAGTTAAGGAAGGCTGCAGATTTAACAATGGACTATGATGAGCTCTAATAAATATCAAATAGAAAATTGTTCATTGAGCCAATAAGAATAGTCTACTAATCCATATTTTGGTCTATCGCCGACTCTAACGCTAAAGAAAAGGGTTTACTAATTTTTTTTCCCAGTTCTCAATGGACAAATTTTCTCATTGTCAATGAAATAGATTACATCATTAACCCAAAAATCTCTTATAGTCATCTTATGTGCTACATAATAATTACGTTTACAACTGTATACGTAGCGAAAGGAATTTTAAAATACCGGGACTTCGTATTCGTAATATATGAAAGTATATAGTAAATTATGTAGTTCATACATGAACACACCGGAGATAAATTTTTAAGATAAATAAATAAATATAAATATAAATAAATATATAAATATATAATAATAAATTTATTTTATTATTTTTAACGACTAGTAGGTCACTGGCAAATAACATTGAGAAAGCTGCCCATGATTTGTCCTACGGACAACTATTCTGACATTATAATAATATTGTATATAGCAAATTCGATAACAGTAATTATATTATATTATATATACTATACCGTAAATACAGTACATATCTTTTTATAACTTTAACAAATAACAGATAACAGTTCTTTCCTAAACATAGCGATGTTTTTTTCGAAGCATGTGTAACGATTAGATCAGGTTAAACCAGATTATTATACCATTAAGTGAATGTTGAGCATAACGATAACCTATTATTACTAAAATAATAAATCTGGTTTAACTAGTCTAATAATGGTAGAGTAATAAAAATATATGCAATTAATTATAGTTAACGTTAAGACATTTTTACAGTAATAACGATAAATATATAACAGTATACTGAAGACTTAACAATCAGCGTTAGCGTCAGCAGTTACTCAATTACATCAGATTATACCAAATTATTATATCAAATTATATATATATATATATATAGTATATCGATATCGGATTAATTATTCTAAATAAAGGCCATAAAGGCCTGTTGTCACTGTATACTGTTTGTTGATGTAAAGCCCACTATAATCGAGACTTACTAAAATGTAGATCTTGTTATAATACAAGAAATATATAATTGGATTTTATTGTTATGCAACACCCTGTATCAGAAGAAAAACAATCATATTGATAAAAATATTGTTCCCGGACTGATCAACAACGTAGGCTAAAATAATGATCAACGCGTTCAATTTTTAGTTAATCATGAGATAATTTTATTAAAGGAAAAAAATAAAGAGCTTAGAAAGGTTGAATCTTTGAAATGTAAGAATGGGGGGTTTTTTTTTTAATAAAAAAAAAAAAGGATTATAATTAGGCACAAACAAGAAATAGTAATCAAGAATGATACTCCAATTATGTACTAACAAAAAATTTTTGATCTATGCATACGATGTGCTATACAAATATGAGAGCATACTAAATAACTAAATACCTAACCATGAAAAAAATAACCGAAAAAAAAAAACAACGCAAAAATAAAAAAAAAAAGAAAATTAATTATTGAGGATTAGAATCTATTAAGATTGTTTGATCCAAAGGACCTTTCGCTTGATTTTAATGACCCACCACTATTTTGATTTTCAGCAGAAGTGATACTAGAACCAAAACGAGCGGCACCACCATTTGTAACAGGATATTGTGGGATAATAGGTGTAAAAGAAGTATGTTGAGGATTAAATGGAACAGATTGTGAGGTAGCACCGGAGCCACTATTCGAATGTGCGTTAATGTTTGGATAAGTAGAACCGTAATTCGCAAACTGTGAAGCATATGGAGGCTGATGAGACGAGAAATGAGTACCCTGTTGATAAAGCGGCGTTGCGTAGTTTGACTGCAGGGCATGATAAGGTTGATTGATACCCATAGTAGCACCATAACCTCCTAAGGCCATAGTATAAGAAGTTTGTAAAAGAAGATATTGTAATGCTGAATAAAAAATTGTTATTGAATCAGAAAAGCTCAAGCGCAAGCCGTTAATCCGAATCAGCTCACATGTTATACAGAAAAAGAGATAGATATAAAAATTTTAATTTAGGTTATTTAAGTAAAAACGATAAGAAACTTACCAGCATTACTTGCAGTCAGATCGTTCCCGGTTGGAAATTTAAGGGATCGATCAAGTATCCCGTAAGTAGGGTTTAGTCCAATGTAATTATTTCTGATTGATTTTTTTTTAACGTTAAAATTAGAATGGGGAGTAAATGACTTGAATCAGAACAAATAAAAAGAAACCTACGTAGTATAAATAGGACGTCGACCAGGAGCGTTCGGATCACCTTTGACAGAAATTCCATTCGGACCACTAACATTTGCAGCTTGAAATCCCTTTGGACCTTTAATCAAATCAAACTCAACCTAGATAAAATAATAATAA